CATTTACCATTTAATCATTTTGCTTCTCTGAAGCCAGTGAGTGGTGAAAGTAACTGAGGAATTGAGGGACACAGAGGATAGTGAGCATCTATTGGATTGTTTTAATTGAACTAGTCTCTGCATTCATGGTAATACATGGACGTGTATACTTTTTTAGCCTCAGTTTCATCTGTTTACCTTATGAACACAGACATAGAATTCTTTCTCATAATATGAAACCTAAAATCTTTTGTTTCTCTGTTTTATTTCTATCAATCGCTCAAGCCACACCTGCTCCGATTGAATCCAGGGGATGAAGTGCTTTATATTCTGAACAGCAAGTTTGTTTGAGGGAAAACAAGGATTCACAAAGAATTGCATCATTCGTTTGACTGACAGCTAAAGCAGCACGATATAATAACCACGTGAGATCAAAGCTCCCTCAGATGTACACTGCCAAAATTCAGTCACGCTAACCTATAGTTAGCACAGAAAGGTGTTGGTTTTTTTTTTTCCAAATTAATCTCAGTTTAGACAACATTATAATGAGAATAATTTAGACATCTCACTGACCTGAAGGTGAGGATGCACACCAAAGCAAATGCAGACACTCTATAAGGAGACAGGCTCAAACACGCACAGTCATTCCCTATGGCAGCTGATTAAATTCACATTACACATGCCTTCACTGCGTTACAGGCACGCAGCATACTTTAGCCTGTACTTTGAAGAATAATGAAATACACCTGGTGAAAGATTAAAAAATATAATTATCCTATAAGGTTGCCCTTTAATCCTCAAAAATGCAAACACTTAAATGACTATATGCTCCTCTGTGTGTAAACAGACTGTTCATATGAATCTCAGTATAACTATAGTTAATTTCTCTGACCAATACAGTGACCTGCATATAGTCATTTCCACCCATTTGTTCATTTAATTATGTTTTTAGATTATATATACACAACCATTCGCTCACTGTTTCCCTAGAAAAACGTGCTGCTTTTAAGAGAACAGACACCGTTTCCGTGGTGATGCCAAGTGGGTTTGCATGTGACTATGTGAAGTGTGATGTTTGAGCCCTTTGGGTGTTGAGAGCATGCACAAATAGATACTAATCTAATCTCGCCGGGCTAAAATTAGCTCATTCGGGGGACATGGTCAACAGACTGCCGATGGCACGACTGAGATGATCGGAGCTGTACAGCTGTTTGACCTTTCAGAATCTCACAGATGGCAGTAGAGACAGAACGGGAATACAAACAGAGCTCCTGTGGCTCATCTTTGGGGTCTATGGTCATTTACATATGTTTGTAGTCTGCGTCAGCTACTGCAATAATTAATGTTTACCGTAAAGATCTTCAGGAGTTGCACTCTTTTTTGGTTTGTTTGTTTTAACTGAATGAAACACTTGAAGTGACAGAGGTGACTGCAGGTTATTCCTTTGAGTAAAGAACACAAATTACTCTATGGTACCCTAAAGTGGCCTTTGTCAAGGTAATGCTTCATATAGTCAGGTAACTTAATCATTTCTTTAACTTGTTAGCACCTTCCTGTAGTCTACCTACCTTCAGGTATTTGTAGCTAAATATATAAATACACAAATTCAAATAAAATACATTTAAATTCCATTTAATTACAGGGGAATTACCTTACCCTCAGTCATGGGCTGTATTAATATAATGACAAGCTGAAATAATTATTTCCTATATGACTTTATCAGTCCATCACATTTCTTTTGGCCCACTCCTTCCAATGTTGCTTCACTTCATTAAGTCCTGCAGGCATTAGTTTATGCATGCCTCTCTTAGGGCCAGCCTTTCATTCAGGCTGAAGTCTGGGCTTTGGCTGGGCCACTTTTCTTTTTCACACACTCTGTTGCATATCTGCTGCTGTTCCTGAGATGTTTGTTCTGCTGAATGATTTTTTCCTTAGCTTTAGCTGCCAGCCAGATGGCTTCACATTGAACACTTTGGTATATAAAGGAGTTCATCATCAGCTCAATAACTGCAAGATTCCCAGATTGTATGGCTGCAAAACAAGCCCAAATCATCAAACGAAGATTGACAACAGCCCTAAATGTTTCCCACTTGTGAATAATCTTTCTCACTCAACTTCAAATTGTTTTGAAATTACTTTGTAAGCCTTCCCAGATTATTGCTGATGTTTTTCCTCCTTGGCATTAAAACAGACCTGAAAGCTGCCAAAGCCTGCGCTTTTATAGAGGTGGGCACATTTGCTCGTGATCAGTTAATCAAGCGCATTTCATTAGCAGAACCTGTCTGCTACTTACCCTCTTAATTCCTATGTAAGCAGCGTGGATGCACTTTCACAGAGTCCTACGCAAACACTGTTTTGTGTGTTTCTGTTTTATTCGTCTCTCTAACTAAACAGTTTGACCTCTTTCTGTTAACATATATGTGATAAAAGACCATCACTCTTCTTGAATTAGAAAAAATATAAATATTGCAAGGGAAGCCTTAGGTGAGAGCTCTTTGAAGTGTGTGGGGAAAAAACGAGTAGCACCTTGCATTTTTAGGAGTACCTAAAATAATCTTACTGTTTATGCAGAATGCTGCTAATGTCACATTATAGCAACCATAAAAACCATAACAAATAATGAGTTTTTAGTTAATTTAACTGCAAAATAATGAGTAAAAAAAAAAAAGCATAAAATATAGCATGACATAAATAAATAAATAACATTAAAACTCTACTGCATAGTTACATTTCTACTGCTCCTATCCATGCTTTCATTCACTCGTCTCATTTTTGCTGCAGGACACGCGTCACAACACCAGATGCTAAAGGAAAAATGAAACCCCAGCAGGTTTGATTAAACTGCAGAATCTGATGTTCTGATAATGAGAAAGGAATAACTGCATCAGTTGTGATATTTTAGAAAATGCCTCTTATCAGTGTTACCCAATCCTTAATTCCCCCGTAGAGAAGCAGGTCAGACATTTGTTATGTCACGAAACATGCAACGCCCTGCAGCGAACTCACTGGTTCTCAGTAGTCAGTGTTCATGAAGGTACCCTACATATGCCGTGTCAGTTTCACGCCAGCAGCACAAAGCAGCACAGATTAAGTAAAAGAACAATGGTTATGTAAAGACTAAAGGAATTCGCGTGAAGAGACTCACAACTGCTTTATGGGAAGAAAACAAACAAGAGCATCATCTTCTGACGCCTCTTTCTGCTCTGCATGTGTTCGATCGTCTTGTGTCAATACTGATATCCGACACGGGCAGTCCTCCACTCTGCCTCCAACCTTTGTCTAAGTCATGTTCTGCACCCATGTTCCCTTCCTGCTGCTTAAAACCTGACAGAAAATACACATGGATGTGGGAACCATCTCTGTTCTTGTTGTGTTTTCATTCCAGCCTTGCCAGCATGAGTGTAACACTCTAGCAAGTCATAAAAAAATAATAAATAAAAACATTCCCTGATATTTTCTTGGTTTCGAATTTTTGAGGCAGATATACAACATGTTCAAACCTACCTCAAATTTACCTCAGGGTGATTTATTGATTAAGGTGGAACAGAGCAGGGTAAATAAAAAATGTAACATATTTATTTATTTGAAGTTCTTGTCAGTAGGTGATGAAGATACCAGCAAAACAAAAACTACAAAGTCACCTTTTCAGCTATAAACTATCCCTGACAACGCAGAAGAGGCTCCTTCTGATTTGTCAGAATGAGCAAACAAAAAAAACAAAAAAAACCCACACCCATTAGGGCAATATAACGTCAAATCACTATAATGTCACAAGCAATCTTGCTTGGTGATGTAACTCAAAACTCTGAAATGTCACTCCTAAGTCTCCTACAATGGCAGCTGTGGATAAGGTTGTTTTTGATAGTGTTATAATAAGCTCTGGCACAGTGCATTGACATATACAGCTAAAGTGTTGCTGCGACATTTAACGAAACATTGCAAAGCGTAAATGTAATATTTCTTAATATTTTCTAAATTGTCAGAGCAACATGCCTCACCCGATGATGAATTTCTCATTTTAATTTCCCCTTGCAGCCCTTTATACAAGATTAGAAATGCATCATAATCATCCAGCCGCGACTCTGAGGAGATGGCTTGAAGGTAGATCTAGTGAATGAGTACTGAGCACCCTAACTGAACTCTAATTTACTGGTTATACATCATTTATTCTGAATTAGACTGTTGAAGTCTTGGTGTTCTGCACAAAGTGACAATCTCAGTGATTAATAATGAAATACTAAAAACCGCAATTCCTCCAATGGCCACTTGAGGCTGGCTCCAAAAGTGAGTCAATTTGCTTGTTAAATGCAAAACTAACACCATTAACATCATGTTTCTAGCCTAAAAGGCTACAATGGAGAGTTTAACCCTTCATAACAACTTTGAGTGGCGTAACTGATTTCATTGGTCGATGGCGCCAATCAGCATCACCTTCACTAACTGAAGTGATTCTCAAAGACCTCTCGACATCATTTGTGCTGTTGGTGGCTTCCAACACATTCTCACTCCCAAAGCATAACATTTTACGCTAGGTGACAAATCGTCTGTATATTACGCTTCCGGGCACCCAACACGTTCATATATCACGAGATCGGAAAAATGAGGAAACATGAGAACTGTTTGGAATGAATCTACACATGTACATTTGTTTTACTCAAATCGCTTTGGAAAACACTATCTAACGTCATTAAAGTGCTGGGTAAGGTTAGGGATAAGGTAAGGGTTAGGGCTGGAATACATGGCTGGAACGTGTATTACCGCGGGAGCGTCATTCTACTGGATTTCATCCATAACCCGGCGCGTGGCATAGAGAACGCTGAAGGTCACCTTTCAAGGCCTCTGGACTTGACAGGTCGCCACTACATTACGCCTCGGGAGTGAGAACGGGCTCTGACTTTTGGAGCATTTTTAAAGGATTATCTGAATACATGTATGGCTTTTTTGTAGTGCAGATCAGCCACAAAGTTTAACTTCACCTGTGGTGATCATTACAGTGGCTACAACCATCTTTTATATACAGTCTATGGGTACCATAAACTGTTAATGCGGTTGCTCAAAAATGGGATTCCTACCTGCAGCAAACCACACTGGAAGCAATGTAAAGCATGCTTTAATGCTCACAAAACCCTTTTCACTGAGTATATATTTGATAGACAGATGCACTAATTAAATTTCATTACTATTTGTTTTGTTGGTCTGGGTGTCGTAAACTTAAAACTTTCAATAAACATAAATGGGAAAAATAAAACCAAAAGCATCTGTATGGCTATTCTACAATGAATAATCAATTACTCTGTGTCACAGTATGTACAGTGTTGGTATTTGGCAGCTTCCAGGTGTAAAGGGAGCTTAATGTTTGCTAAACTATAGTCTTTAGCTGTAAGTGCAAAACATAACTAAATGGTGTAAAAGTGTATTGAGTGTATTATGGATGCACTTACGCTCAGCGATGACCAGCGGTGGGTAGAACAGAAAGTACCCCACCAGCTCAGCAGTGAGCTGGTTGAGAAGACTGCTGGAAATTGTCCCGTTAAGTATTGAATCCTGATTTTTCACCACATACACCAGAGTGACTGAGGGGGAGTCAGGCTCCTGGGAGACACTCTGGATCTGAGGATAAACACACAAGCACAAAATACATTTTATTATTTTTATTTGAATCCTCCTGTCAAATATGGTACACTATGTGCCCCATAGTCATTCTAATATATGTCATAATAGAATGACTTCAATACTTTATAGCGGGCACACAAACAGCCAGCTACGGCTGCATGTATAATTCAAATATTCATGCTGAAATATCTAAGCGTATCATGCCAAATGTCAAAAATCCACATAAAGAATGCATACCAGAGCTTCAGACACAGTATTACACTTTGAGTGAGCACAATATAATAAGACCTAGGTGATGCTGTGAACCTTATGTGAATGAGTCACCGTAAACGAGTGGATGGCAATACAAGGTACGAGAGATTCCCATCACATTCCTCCATGAGTGTTAATATTTCAGAGGATAAATTTTGAATGGAGCCTATATATCTGTCTCTTCATGCTGAGACCTACTTCTGATTATAATGGTGTGTGCATGTGCAGTAGATCCTGCATTCATGAGGGTACATTGACAGATGGAGAGAAAGAGACAGGAAATAGGAAAGAGGAAAGAAGAGCTTCAAAAATTGCACAAAAATGAGCTTTGATTGTGTCTCCAGTTGTTTAACAACACAGCTATTTTCTTCTTTATTTTTTTAAATTGCTGCAAAACTGTCTGACCTTTTAACAGAAAAAAATACCAAGCAATTACCACAGAAAACACAAGAAACACACGCCTGAAATAAGGTATTCGGACTAGATACAGAGTGGATACAATCAAGAAAGCTTGTTTTCTGGTAAGTGACGAGAATTTGACTTTGTTATTCATGTAAACCTTCTCAGCATGCAGCATGCAAATACTGCTTATTTGTCTGTCTGTTTTTTCTAATAAAAAAACGCCCCACGCAGCACCTCAACAGTGAGTGTGTTGTAGGTCTCCAGCACTTTGTCCTGAGCTTCATCAAAGGCGTTCTCCAGCCTCTGCTCCAACATCTGAACAAAACTGCAGGAGTAGATGTTGTCTGTCGGGCCAACAAATCTCAACACTGGAAAACAAAGCATAAAAAACAACAAGATTATTTATAGGCTGCAGTTTTAAAAACCTACAAAGTTTGACAATTTTCCCTTTTTTTTCCATGAACCGGTGGTAAGACGCTTTAAAATTTTTTACTTTATGGGCAGTTCGCTCAGCAGGATGAGACAGAGAAATGGCCCGGGAGCCTGGGAGCCAGATAGCTTTTTTACTCCTCTATCAATCAAGTGTATTTCATTTTTCTCTCGTCATTAAAAGGATAAAATAAACCAATTATTGAACAAAAACTCTTTAGTTTGAAAGTCAGACACATTCATATTTATTATAACTGATTTATGGGTGGCAACCTGGTGTCCAGTCCCTCTAATGCCATACTCTGGTGATTTCTTTAGCAGAAACCTACGTATTCAGGTACCAGCTCCAAAATCTGGCTCTTCAAATAACAGACTATCATTTAGAGTTTAATCTGTTGTCATGGCAATGTTGTAGCTACAAATTGAATTGCTGCACCGCAAGAATCATGGAAAGAGAAATTATTTAAAAAACTCTTCAGCAATCCACTTCATCACGCTGCATCTAGAATCTGTATCTGGGGCTGTGGTTTAGGCATTAGTGCCCTATATAAATGTCTGTGTGATCAATAAACCTAAGCAGTGAGACACAGAAAGAGGATTATCGTCACTATCTAGAATTAGAACAACTGAAAAGAGTATTTCTATGTTAGCGTCACACAGTCCTGCACCGAGGAGGCACAGGGTAAGCAATATTGAGTCTATCAGATTACAGCAGATGTTATTGTTGTTGTCGTCTTTTGTTGTCTTGTTGTCTTGTTTTTTTTTTTTGTTTTTTTTTAAAAAAAAGCTCTGTAGCCACTGGGACAGGAGAGGTGGAAAAATATTCTGACCTAAATTCAAATGCTGTGATGCTTATGAGTGCGGGCTACATCTCTCAAAAAGAGAAAGAAAAACACTACATCATTCACTGGTGTCTTAGCCTGCAACACTGTGCCGGCACAAACACTGCTGACCCAGTTGGTAATCTTATGTAAATGTATCTCTGTGGCTGCTAAATTGGCATATACTATACATTTATGGATTAAAGCTGTACAACACAGAAATGGGTTTTAATTTCTGCTTCAAGTGCCTACTTCACATCCAGGAGTAGATACAACAAACACAGCAAACATCACTACAAGTGTTAAAGTGTGGGAATTGGCAGAGAGCTGTAGTTGTTTTACAGAAAATGTGAAAGCCAAAAAATAGATGTTCTCAGTCGCTTAAAGCCACTATGTAGGGTTCATGAACATACACTAAATACACTGAATAATCATAATGGTTTTCATAAACACACTCATCTTTGCATATAAAAGAAATCATATCTTAAATAAATAATTCTTACAAAGCTCTGACCAGTTTGGCCATTTACAGTCATGAAATACAGAACAAGTAGCTTTAACTGAAACTGTGTGTCTGATGACACGGCTGAGAAAATGTTTTACATCTAATTAGTTGCTAATGCAAAAGTGTACATGAGATAAACAGCAGTCAAAGTTGTAATTAACACTAAAAACATTTTTAAAGCAAAACCATAACTAAAAGGCATTTTAATATCCAAGAATAATAGGAGATTGTACTGTGTTCTCACCTATGCGGCAAGGAAGAATATACTACTCCAATGGATTCATGAAAAAGCACCAACTATTAAAGGTTGGCAAAGAGTAGTGTTGGATCTAGTGCCATTGGAATATCTTACACGTATACTGCACTCAAAAATAGATCAATTATTTAAGGTGTGGGAACCATATTTGAATTATGTGGAACCTGATGTTTCTGATATTATGTTACAAGGATTCTCTTGAGTGTTCAAACTGCAACGTACTACTGGGACCACAGGTATTGTACTGTATTGTATTCTCTCTTTATTTATTTATTTATTTTTTAGATGGAACTGAGCTGGTGTTCTGTGCTTAGTTATCAGTCTTTTTGTTTTGTTTATTTGTTTTTTGTTTGTTTTTTATTTATTTTTGGTTCTGAATTGTACACTTTATTATGTTATGTAATTATGTACTATTTGTGAAAACAGAAAAACTAATAAAAAATATATATATTAAAAAAAGGCATTTTACGGACATTCAGTGGGAGCTTGTTTCCAAGGATTTTTGCACATTTTGCATATAATTTTATTAATTAGAAAGGAACAAAAAGATGTGGCATACATACCAAAAAATGTATGCACAGATACAGATAAAAATGCACAGAGATTTTTATAAAATGTACAGAGATATGTATCACTGTACACAAAGATTAGGAAAAAACTGCAATAACATGATTGGTATTTTTTAGTTTCTATGGCAGGGGGATTACATGGAAAAATGCCTTCTCTGCCCATTAACAACTACCACTTTCAGCCCGTGAAACAATATTACTTCAGCGAAATGAAGAGAGTTTCAGAGGTGATCATTATTCTTATTCTCCCCGTTATTAATATGTTTCTTTTTCATGAATGCAAGTTTAAGAAAAGGATTAATTATAGACAGTAAATTGTCTTTCCTTCTTTTCTTGGGAGAAATAAATCTCTCTCTTATTAGCTTCTCTTCATTAGTTCCATAAAACCGGAGCTGAATTTAAAATGCTTCTTGATGATCGGGCCCATCATTTCTTAAAGACCTCACAATATCACGTTATCCCAATAGAGCTCTTTGCTCTCTTACTTGTGATTCTTGGGGTTTCCAGTGGAACCAGCTCCCAGTTTGGATTCGGGAGACAGACACTCCTTCTGCTTATAAAATGAGGCTACAAAGCTTACAGTTAGGCTGGATTCAGTGACCCTGTACAGTTCCTTAATTATGCTCGGGTTGCTGGGATACTTTCCACGATGCACTGAGAGTTCTTCCTCACCACTTTTGCCATATGTTTGCTAATAAGAAATCATCTGACTGTGGAGGGTCTTAACTTTACAACATAAAGTGGCTAAAGGTGCCTGCTGTTATGCAGTGCTGCTATATAAATACAACTGAACCGAAATGAATAATATAATTAGTGATACCAATACAAAAGCTACCAAATTCTACAGATTTAAAAAGTACAATACTTATTTTTTAAGGAAATCTAATCTGTGCATGTATATTTTAACTAACAATTCAATAATTGCATTCATTGTCCTACTTTTGCTCCCATGAGGTTTCGATGTGTGTCTGGCTGGGCATGCTGAAGTGTGTTTTTTTAAGAGGCTTACCAGGCTGTCTAAATGAATGGAGCAATTTGCCTTTGCTCTGCAGTCGTGGAAGTTTGTATGGGATTTAGGGTATCAGAGAAGAGTAAAGGAGAGCAGACATGTAATCGAAATTTTCTAATTTTGACTCAGCTCTACTCTTCCTCTGTGTCTTTCTCCCTGCGTTCTCTCTCCCTCCCTTTCTCTATACATCTTTAACTTCTGCTCCCTCTCATACTCCACCTCCATCGCCAGATCCTAATCAAGCTGGTGCTGTGAGAGCCTCTTGAGTAAAGCTGCTCCCTCATATCTCATTTTTTTTTGTTTGCTTTCATCACCTGTTTTCAGCTGCAGGTGAATATTTGGAGCAGGCACCCAGGTTGCCACGGGAACCAGAACGGCCTTAACCAATGGCGTGTGCTGCCTGATGTCCGACAGCAGCTTGTCAAAACCGTAAACATTCAGGGCTCTGACAACCATGGCGGAAATGTAGACAGTTTTCCCGTTGGTCACGTAGTATCCCAGCGTCACGTTGTGGGGGCTGCAGTCATCATGTTCCACCTGTGACAGAGACGCAGAGGAGAACAATACAGGTTGGAGTTTGTTTTTTAGACTACATTTATATCTGGATTTCAAGGCAGACTGTCTTTAAAGCATTGTTTATCTAGTGGATTTGTGTCCTCATTTTAAAGCACACACACTGCAAAGAACTGCAGAAACCATATCAGAGCAGAAATCAGCTCTACTAGGTCTGATACATGTTGTTCTCAAGTGATGGGCTTCAAATATAAATGTATCAGACTATGAATACTTATAATCCTGGCATTTTTTTTTAAGTCAAATCTGACTCAAGGGAATTTTATAGCTTGAGCCCTCACCAGTCATGAATCTGACTAACCGTGTCCCGGAAAAACACACACAGACAACAATCGGCGGTGAGTCAAGGCTTGTATTTCTGGAACTATACACCGCCTACTTTCCTCTACCTTCAACCACACTGAGCTGCTGTAGCTTGTGTTACTATGGCGTCTTCCTCTTTCTTCATCCTTCTTTTTCCTCTCCCTCCTTCCCCGGCTAGTCCATTTCTCGACAATAACACATCCTTCTTAGTGAAACTGTATCTCATTAACCTTCTCTCCTACTCTTATCCCCTCTACTTTCCATGCAAACAGAAACGAAAGAAAGTTCACACAGTTTTTCAAACTATAGCTACCTGCCATCTTTGTTTAAGCCCTTTTCTGTTTTAAGTTCTCGTCAAAGCTTTAGCCCCAGTTTCTTCTTTAGTTTTTAATTATACTCAGCGACACATTCCTTTATTCCAGCACCCTACCTTTGGGTTTTGCATATCATTAGAAAACAAAAAAGAGCTTTTGAAGCTCTCATTTTAAGGGCTAAAATGAAGAAGAGTGGGAAAGTCAAAGTATTTCTTGCAGATATTATGTGCGGTTGCAGGAACAGACTGGTTGCCCTCATGTCCTCCCGTGCTACGGCTGGTTTCCTGGCTACAAGGAAAACAAGTGAAAGTCAACTCGATCCTGTGACGCAATCTTCTAACCATAAGCACTCTGTAACTGTCAGCTTGTTAGCTTGTATTCTTTGTTTTGTCCACCTATTTACTAAAGAAGCACACAAACTATTAATGACTCGTTTATGGAGATTCCAGTACAGTAGCTGAAAAAGCAATTATGTTAAAAGACATGGTTCAATGACACAACATATTAAATGTAACCTGCAAGTTAATTTCATGCTGTTTGACAATCCCTGCCCACGCTGAAGCAATGTTTTGCCTGCGTATCACTGCTTTTAAAGATCTGTTTCCTTCCTCTTGTTGTTGCTATTGTCAAAGGACTGATCCTGACTGCCAAATAATAGCTTACGTTATCTGATGGATAGGATGAAAACTCAGGAGATTGAGGTTGTGTGTGTGTGTTGCAGGAGGTTTAGATGAAAGTGGACTGCAGCTTTGAGATACTGAGTCACTCCAGCGTGAGCTCACAAACAACTGGATAAAAATAGAAAGAAAGAAAAAAGATGAAGACAGACAGACAGCAAGATGAAGGGAGGCAGGTGGACAGACAGAGCCGGGCAGGCCCAACAGGCGTACAGACAGACAAGTGAGACAGACAGGTTGGCAGAAAATCTATCGACTTAAACCCAGGGAACAATCATATTGGAGGGAGATGGAGAAAGGGAGCAATATGAGAGATGTAAAAACTGAGGAATATGCAAAGGAAACAAAAGTCAGAACAGAAAAAAAACAGCAGAATGGGAAAATTGTGTGAATGAAAAAAAAAAAACAACGTAATAGCTCATTCGTAATTTGTTTTACATTGTAGCGCATGTGAGAGAGAGAGACAGTACAAGGGTGCGTAATAACCTCTCTGAGTAAACTGCCTCGCTATTCAGCAGGTCATAACAATTCAGACTCAACCACAGTCTGCATTAGTCACCTCTCTAGCACCCTTCATGCGAGTCCTTATGAAGTGAATGAGGAGGAGCATGTGATGAAAAGTATTGTAAACTGATGACACACTCACATATAGAATATCTGAGCACACATGAAGAGCAAAAATCATGGCAAAACAGAAACGCAACAAAAAGATTTGACTGCAGCATTGCGGCGTGGTCCTTTTAAATATAATTTATAGATCTACAACATTTCTT